CCTCTATTCTGACTGTCGGCCGTCCTCTTCAGTGTATTGAACTGAACGAATAGATTCTCTCCCGAAGAATATACCATAAGATTTCTTTGTTGCCCGCAATACGTGGCGATGAGTGGGTCCTGATCTGAGGCGCCGTCATATACTTTGATGTAATCAAACGGACAGCTATTGAGTTTGAGTGGGAAAGCGAATGATTAGCTTTTGTGTGCTATAATTTGATTGTGTATAACATTTCATTGCAAAGCATTTATTGTATTAAATGTCATGAAATGTTAGGAAAAGGAAAGTGTTGTAAATATATATATAAGATGTTTGATAAGAGACTGACTGCGGGCCGCCATAAAAGAGATCGAAATCCATGAACTCAAGTCTGACTCGTTGTCCTTTTTTGCCGAGGAATCGGTACTGACAGCTCAGGTTCTTGGGATACACTCCGGGATATGTTGGGCTCAGGAACTGACCCTCTCTTTTCTGGTCGCTATATATTGAATAACTGCATGTCGTGTGCGGTGTTGGGGTTCCGGCGATAAATGGACCTATAGTTTAAAGGGAAGACATCAAAGCAAATCAATCCATCAAAATGACGAGTTTTGAATGTTCTGGGCTTTGAGGTATGGCTGCATTCCGTCCTTAACGATAAGCACTCAATGATATTTCAAACACTTTTTTTGATGATATAATGTTATACGAAAACAGAGCCGTTCGCGAAGAAAGGAAAGTTTTCTTTTAGTTCAAAGAATTGAAAAATTGATCGAAAATATTGTTCAAAAAAGAAAGAGTAACAAAAATTGAATGATAAGAGTTTTATAGAGCTTTGAGACAAAAAAAAGCATTTATTCTTAATAATAAAAACAGATATCTCGTCAAAATATTGTTTAAGAAATTTGATATTTTTTTCAAGAATAATATTTCAATTATCTTAATAGAGAAAACAGAAGCAAAATAACACTTAACACACGAAACACTTGTTTAAATTAAAATTGAAAATAATAAATAATGTATTAAACAAATAATTAGAAAAAAATGTTTGACAACACTTGAAATCAATTTCCACTTGAAGTAAGAGTGTTTGAATTGAGAGATCAATATTTTATTCTTTATGGGATCTAATGGAAGCGACGGCCCAATGATATTATGACACGAATCCCAAAACTAAGCCTAAGCCCCGAGAGTTAGTCTTTTCTATTAGTTCTGCAAATTCTTAAAAATCTATTGAAAAGAGCGAAGCGTTAAATATAATTGAATGAATTGATTGAATACGAAAAGTACATATCGTTTGAAACTATTTCTTAGCAAAATCTCTATTATTAAAGTCATAATAAAGACTAGTATTGAGAAGACGTGATTATTTCCCAAACTGGCAAAAAATGTATTTCAGTGTTTGATTTCGATCGCAAACTAAACTTTATTATTGAGTTACACAACAGTTTTGGTACTGATATTCAATCGTTTGTCGGCGGATCTGGTATTGCAATCCATGTCACGAATGGACTCAAATTGATTAACAACACAACAAACCTTTCCTTAGATATAACACAATAAATATATATATAATATAAGAAAAAATACTTTTTAAACTACTCTAACAAATGGAAACTAAATTTACGAATCGATTGAATAATTTGTTTTGTGTTTTCTTCACGATATGCTTATAAGAGACTCATATCAATGAATTGAATTTACATTCATATGAATATAAGTCTACTTTCCTTTTAATACACTATAATTCCTGTGACTTTTATGTATGCAATGAAGTTTATGTGAGTTTATTTGAATTGTAATTTTGTGAACTAATGTTAAGTCAATTCAATTTATTAATACAAAATATAATGTAATATCTCATTTGAATGCAATAATTTTGCATCAATTCTATATTTACTGGTATTTTGCATCGAAAATACTTCATAAATGGTCTTAATTTATACAAATAGAGTGAGTATTTTAAAGAAGTAATTTGTAAATATAGATCAAGACATAAGGGATTCTTCTCTATACTTGTTATATAATAGTAATTCTATAAGAAATACTATAATATAATAAAGGAATAGAAGGGCATAAAGTGGAGGGGGAGGGCAGGGAGGAGATGAAGAGGAGAGAGGGAAAGAGAGAGAGAGAGAAAGAGAGAGAGAGAGAGTACTCACTGGCGTCGATAAACTCGTAATAGCCTTCGAAGACGCGATCGTCAACTTGTTTCTGATCGGTATAAAAGCCAAACACTAATGTCTGATACATTGATATTCTCTTTCGAGGAACAGTTCGCCCGCAATAACGGCCCCCAAATGGAGTAGTGATTAAATCCTGTGACGGCTCTTCCAGTTCTGTATATAAGTCCACGTATTCTCCACTACAGCTATATTTAAATACAAAGACAACTCTTCTATACTGTCTGTACAACACTTGTATTGATTGTTATGTTAACTTATATATAAAGTGAAAGAGAGTTATTATGCTGTTTGTCTAAAGAGCACTGTTTATGCAAAGTTTATATAAACGTATGGAATATGAATGAATGTACGGAACAAATGACTTACTCGGGAGTACTTCCTCTTAAGTCGAACAATGAGAATGAGATTTGAATCCTTTCATTCTCGGCCGCAATGAATGTGTAAATGCATTGTCGGGAATGCTTTTGTTCGTTCGTCATGTGAGGCGACCTAAAGGTGCCGTTTTTCAGTCCATCCGGATTACTGATGAACATTCTGTCGCATTCTGTACAACGAGTGCCACAATGTATTTAAATTCAACATATATTACATTATCAGTCAGTATAATGAACTTAGGCTTTGAATTGCATTTTATTGATAGTGTTTGCACTTTGACTTCAGTAAAAAAAGTTTGCATTTTCTAACTATACATGACTTCAATAGTGCGGCAAATAATCCCAAATTTGTGCTCCAATGAGCAAATGTATGGATTGAGGGGTGACTGAGAGTCGATGGATGAGGACTAAGGGATGTGGCGAAGAGGGGATGAAATTTAATATTGAGCCGAGTTTTCGGAGAGAAAGATCATTAGATTGTAAGAGAATATATCATTAGTTTGTATCGATTTTTATCGCAACGTTTTTTGGCAAAAGAATAAGAAGAATGCATTCAAACGATTCATATGTGAAGCATATTTTAAAATATTTACTCTAAAGACTGAATCAATTGATGGCTTAATCTATTCAGTAGTCTCTATGGCGTGAATGAATTGATGAGATCATTTGGTGCCATCATTTTTACTCATTCATAATAAGCAATTAGTTTTTCACATATAAATGGCATTTAATTTTTAGTGACAAAAATAATGGCATTAGAGTGTGATTGTTGTCCATTAAAGGCAATGCCTATCAGTGCTGATCACATAATAGTGTTTATGGCATAATCTTTTCAATTTGTCTCTTCAGTTCATTTCTTGTTATCATTGATATAAAGGATGTTATGCTTAACTCAACTCTAATAAAATGATATACAGCTATGCGGTCGACAGTGGCTGATGTGCTCCCACTGCCGACTCCAACACATAGTCATCTAAATAATAGATAATATTATATTATTCAGTAGTAAACTACTAAACTTATATATAAAGCTTTATATTATATAACATACAGTATAATACTTCTAGCATTTATGTTTTCCTAATGTTTTTGAAAATATAATTCTAGACACTTTCAAAAATGATAACTTCCAGCCTTTCATATAATATCTAATATAAAATACTATTCTCTCTATTTTCCAGCAAATCCTTAAAATACATTCATTTTCTGCTAAAACTCGAGTCCGAGGAATGAATAAATTATAAATCATTTGAAAACTCTCATCAATTATTGAAGACTTTGTTTCCTATGATATGGAAACACATTCTTTGCGGACATTTCTATCAATATTTAAATGTCAAACACTTGATACAAGTGTTGATCTCTGTGTTACAGACAGACAGTGAGTCGAGGTATTCATTTGGGGAAACGGAAAGCAGAATGAGATTATAAGACATGACTGATTACTAGACTAGACATTGAATCTCTGATAACACGCCGCAAATGACACCAGAATTTGCAGAAATTATTTCCTTCACTCACTTTAAAGAGACTACAAATTATATGTAATCGTTGTCTGAATCGCTCGGCTCTGGCAATGGATTATACGACACTCACAGTCGGCCCTAAATTATCACTATTTTCTTATTTATCATTTCGCGAACACAAAAAAGTGATTATATTCTCGCATTTTCTAATACGAGTATATGTTGTCTGTCTGTCATATAAAACAGATAACTCGTCGACAATATTTCATTTCTTCTTTTTGCCTAAAGTGTGTTTCAGATAATTGTTGTGAAACTCAATACAAGCTCTGCTTTTTACTGAAGGAATGTTTCCTTTTTATGTTTCGTTCAATAATTTTCAATTTGAAAACTACTTCACTCTTCACCGCAATTATATGCCTATCGATTGGGACGCAGTCTTGAAAGTTATATCCGATTTAATTAATCTCTGGAGTGTGAGGTCTGAAAAGCGTGCGGAACCCCCTGTAAAGTGCCTTAAAATCATTTAATTGCCTGCAGTTGTGATAAATGGAAAGCACTTTAATGTAAATAAAAAATGTATAGCGAATAGAAAGAGGAATTTGCAGTGAAATAAATACACGGAATGCTAATACCGTTAAACACAATATAATTCTTGTCATATAAATTGATTAACTCATAAAAATTGGATGTATTTACCGTTCGCTTCAATGCATTTGCTATTCATAATCGCCACGAATATAATGGTTATTGGAAACCAATCGCATCGCAGGCATCGCTCAACCATTGTCTTCATGAGCACAGCATCACTACATCCGACAATAATTGTTTCGTGAAAGGGGTGTCATTGAAATTCTGTGATTCTTGCCATAAAACACATTCACAGCCGCTTAAGAACCCAATTGTTTTGTTAATCCATTGAAATTCTCAAATTATAAAAAGACCTGTCATTACATTTTGAAACACATATTGAGTTTACGTTTGGCTTTGGCTTTGATGAGTGAGAGAGGCTGTGGAGTGTGTGTACGGCTGTGTGCAGTATATGTGCATCGGCTGTATCTTCTCTTAGGAGCCAACTCTAGAAGCCATGACATGAATCGCATCACTATTTTATGTGCAAAGAAATGCTCCGAATTATCAATGTTTAGCTCAAATCGCATGCTCTCTAACGTCGGTCTTAATTCTCTCGCATCTCTCACTCACTCTCTTTCACTCTCTCGAGAAATACATTAAATCATTTAAGAATCGCGTCCTTAAAAAACTTCTCATTTTCTGCAATCCTTTTCATTAAATTTATTCAAAACATTGAATTTATTGTAAAAATTGACTGAAAAAATAATTCCGACAATTTATTTCATCCGCAAAATAGACTTTTTTAATGAACACAAAAGAAAAATAGCAATAATTTGATTATTTTATTTGAAAATAAATCTAATTAAAAAAATTCGGGCAAATAATAGAAAAAACAGGAAAACTCTTTATTCTGGGAATAAAATTCTTCGGCGAGAATTGAAAGGAAGAATAATATTGTTTTTATATATCAATAGTATGTATAGTATGTATAGTACAGTATAGTTACAGTTGGTGTGCAAACCAACGGCAAAGTATAGCGAAAAATGAGACACATATCGATTCATCCGTCGTATTGATCCGTCCGTCCCTTTTTCGCACACATACTGTTTGACTAAACATCTCATCATTTGAAGTGTTTGTGACTCAAACTCTCGGCAATCGACAGCCAAACTCTCACAACTCATTCATAGTAATAGGTTTTGATGCGGAAAATCTTTGAGAGAACCCACTGTTCAACAAAATAGCAATTAGTATAACAATTATAAAAATGAGTGTTTCGTTGCTCTCAATCATAGCCTAATAGAGTAATAGAGTTTTGTTTCGCCAACAAAAGCAAAAAATATTTCTTACAATAAAAATAAAAACTCTTAACACAGAAAAAAATTGTCACTTTATTAGAGAGAAAGAAAAAACGAAGTAAAAAAAGGATTCCTCTTCAAAGTTATTGAATCGATGGGTAAATATTTGTATTATTTTTTGCCAACAATTTGTCTCAAAAATATATGCAAAAAACGTATTGCATATAAGAATTTGCATTAAAAAACTGTCGAATAATTGAATTTCAGGACAAATAAGAAAATTTAAAGTTTTTTACTTTCTTCAGCACTCCCTCTAAAATAGAGTAATAATATTGTAGTAATACTTGTGTACAGTATTCACAGCAAACATATCGATCACTCGGAATATTTAAATTTCATGATAAGAATTGCAAAAATATTAAGAAAAACCAACTTTTGGGTGATTTTAATATTACTTTTATTAGATGTCGAATAGAATAAAACAGGGTTTCGTTTGAGCCGTTATTTTATTCAATAAGATAAACATTAACTAATAATTGAGAATAATTTAGTAATAAATTAATCAAATATTTTTTAGTTCAATACATATGTAAACAAATGATGCTTTAATTTACATCTTCTAAACTCTTATGATATTATTTACAAATAAAAAACAAAACCAAAAAATTAAAGGCAATTATTGTTATACTATTGCTTTAACTATACTTAAAAACATTTGTGGACATGATTTGTATTATATTATCATTTGATTTATTGATTTTTATGTGTTTTTCTGTTTAAATAACCCATTAATGTATTAAATGATAAAAAATATTTTTAAATAGAAATGCAATTTATTTATTGTTTGTGTTTTGAATGAATACTCTTTTTAATGCTAATTTCATTATCACTTCCAGTCTCGTCATCAGTCATCACATGTACTAATACTCCAACAGCTTTGCCTAAATTGCCGGCCGTTTGCAGCAAATTGTTGACTTGATTTGATGCCACCGCCGGTCCTAATGTTGCGATCAATAGTTCAGACAACAATTCTCACACGAATAGACCACAAATCAATCCAAACCTGGATTTTCAGATCCATTGGTGAGACTGTGATGATGAGCTCTTGGCGACGATGATATGTTATTGTGAAGGTTTCTATGTTGTAGTCCGCTTGACATACGAGGCAATGAGGATGTGGTGCTGTGAAGGGAAGGGGAATGAGACGGTTCCGGGTCTGTCTCCAGAAGTTGTCTTAGGCGTTGCAATTGGGCCTCGAGTTGTCGGTTATGGTCTTCCAATATCTGCATTCGGGTCTCGAGTCGTCCCTTGTGTTGGCGCAGGAGTTTCGCCTCCGCCAGCATTGCATCGTCTCTGTTGGGCGTCGCTATGGGTGTGACGTCTGTCTCGGAATCGCTCATTAAATTGGACCCAATTTTCGTATGATTTGAATAATTATTGGCATAATTTGTCGATCGATTAGTCGTTTTCTCGTTCTTCAATATATCGTATTCTTGTTGTAAAACACTGTCAAATAAAACCATTAAATAGCACTTTATCTCACAAATCAATTTCTATAATCAAATACCGGTTTTCTTCCTCTAACTCGTGAATAATAGACTCCAATTCGTCCCTTTGGTCGGCTTCGATGGCTGCCATCACTTGTGCTGGACTTTGAGGAGCGTAAGTGGTATATCCATAATCGTTGCCCAAAGTCTGGCAGTATTGGGCTATCAATTGGTGCTCGTCCTCACTGTTCAGACACAACAAATCATAAAATATCACATTTGACATCAAAATCGTATACAATATTGTATTGCAATCAATACTAACGATTCGTCTGGTGTGACACTACTTCGTCCTCTGAGTTCCACTTCTGCCAATCGATTTGCATAGAGTTCTAGTCTTGAGTGCATATCCTGTGATGTGTGATGTAATGTATGGGAAGGAGAGGGCATCGGACTCTCCAAGTCGTCGCCTTCGAGTACGGTCTGAACGGGTAAATAACCGACTCGTGGATGACGTTTGAAATAACGCTTTGATTTGAATTTATTGCGAATAATACGAGTGAAGTCTCGCACGTCTTCACCCGAATGGATGACAACACAGTATTCTTGCATCGGATGTCTAAACGGATGAACGAGTAAAATATAGTATTAGTATAATTAACAATAACATTGTGTAGACTCTGCAGAGGAAATGATGGACACATACGTGATCTTATGGTGTTTGGCTCTTCTGCCCGAAAAGAAGCAGTTTTGGCACAAATCGAAATTAAAACACTTTAGACAACGATATCGAAAGCCAGTGATCGGATACATTCGGCATATATTACACTTGGCTTTATGTTTGGCCGTCTCTGAGAGCGACAAACGATGCAATACTGGTAACCATACGATCGATTGCGGCTCCTGTTGAAGCCATCCGAGAAAGTCTGGCGCCTGGATCTCACTCTTATTGCCTGCTCTGAGAAAACACGAGCGAACGGATGGCTCAATATTACTGCCGCCAAACGCTGCGATCTCTCCTAAAAGACGCGGTATTTGTATGCAATCGTGTAATAAAAGCCCTAATTTTCTTTCATCTGCACTTCCATTGGTGTTTGCGATCAAACGAAACAAATCTACATTTCATAAAACAATAAAAATTGTTTAGAGTTTATGAGCCGTTTATTTATCAAAAAGAGTGAAAATATGTTTTAGTCTTTAAATCCAAATCTTATCTCACATTTGTATTTGTCTTCGACGGAGGCATTCGAGAGGAGCGCTAAACCGACTTTAAACGATAGTATCCTTATATATCCGGTTCGAGTGGAACTGTGTATTGGATGCAAACATTTCATTCATATCGCAGTTAAACAATGGCTTAGTTTTGGACCAAAACAAACAAATACAATGAGATATTCTTACGTGTCGTACAGATTGAGTAACCAATTAAGACATAAATCAATACAGACGGGAACGTCAACCAATGAGGAGTGTTCCACAGCTATTCCTTCGTATATATTCTGCAAACAACTGATCATTTCTGGAACACTGATGAGGTTGTCGTTCTGTGCCCTCAAACCAAAGTCATCGAATATTACGATCAGATTATCCAATAGTATTAAATCGAGACACAGTCGCCGCTGAACTGTCCGTAATTTCATTGCTGTCCGATAAGCGCTATAACGGACCTCATTGTATTCGCTCAACGAGTTTAATATTTCCGTATATTTAGGCGATTCCTATATATTCCACAAACGAAACGTTAAATTAGTTAAAGAGTCGAGAGTTGTCTGTTAAAAGTCATACCCAATGAGTGGTTTCGGTCGCGTGACTGTCAAAAGCGAAATAAGATTGGATTAGTTATCGATTGTCGAGTGTCTGTAGTGTTAACTCACTTTATATAATAAGGCACTTTATTGGCCGCCACTGCCCTCTCCCAGGGATGATCGACCGAAGCGTTCAAAAATTGCTGTTGAGCTGAGCCGTGGTCTCTGATGGCCTGCTCTATGGCTTTGTGTCGCTCGTCGGCCGCCAATTGAAGTAAACGCGAACGAGTGTTCAGTTCTTCGAGATAATTGAGATTAGAGTGCGAGAGGAGGACATTGCAACCGGTTATCCGAGCGGACGACTCGTTCACCTGCTCTGTCTGGCACTGAATTTGTGCCACTCTTTCCCGGAATGACTATACAATGTAAATCATATTCATTTTACTAATCGTCTCATTAAATAAATATTATCTTTAAATAAAACTTATAAAAAGAAAACACAGAAACAGTTTTAAACAAAATTCGACAACATTTTCATACGTGTAAATCATATAATAATGGATGTAATGTTTAGAAAATGTCTTACCTTCAGCTCAATGAGATGTTGAGGCAATTGATCCAAAACAATGTCCGTAATGTTAGGCCATTTAGTTTTATGCGTTTCTAATGAATGCAATTTAGCGCTCAGTTCTTCCATACCCTTCTGTAAGCCATGCATTCTCTGTACACAAAATGCCGTGAAATGACAGCAAAAAGGAGAAGAAAAAAGTTGACAATAAGTTTCAATACATTAATCAGATATAGATATTGAAGCGAACGCTTATGATATTGAAAGGAGAACTATATTTATATACAGATATCGATATGAATGCAATGGTATTAGAGTTAGTGATGTGTTGTCGACACATGTGAATGGTATGGAAAAAGTATTGATACAAACCCTGTGAACATCATCTAATCGTTTGAGTCTTTGCTCCGTCTGTTGTAATAATTCATTCCATTTATCAGAGAGTTTGTTCACTTCCCTCCTTATACTTCGGGTCACCTCTTTTGCGCCATCCATACCATCACCACTCCTACCGTATATACGACTGTCCGCCTCATAATCTCTCACTGAAACAATAAACAACAGACTTCTTGTTTAACAAATAACAGCTCAAACTTTATTTGTATTGAATTTATCGCTAACACAACCAAATGACTAACAAATGGCTTAATAGTCTTTGCCTCTCTCTCTCTCTCTCTCTCTCTCTCTCTCTCTGTTTCTTTTCTTTCTCACATCCAATCACTTCAATAATACACTGAATACTGAATTCTCAACACAATATTCAGCGTAAAAACTCAATCCAATCGTCGATTTTAACGATTCAATTATTCATGACTTAAGTGTAACAATAGTTGACAGAAATCGCATTTTTTGAATTATATTTCATTTGTTGCGAGTCTTATCGTTCAAGACCTCAACGAAACCTAATTATAGTCTAATTCTATTCATAAAAACTTTTAGAAATTTAATTTCACTTTTTCAGTAAAAAATTTTTTGAAACGACTCAAAAACTTGCAATAAATAATCCAAGAAAATAGCTATACTATAGCCATACTATACTTCTGTTTTAATTTCTTATACAATACATTAGAAAGGATGTCATTTTGATCTTATTTTCCATGAAATTGTTTCCCAAATTTACTCCTAACCTCTGTTTGAAATTTAATTTAAAATAAATAAAATGTTCACTAATATATGTGATCGCACCCACACATCCTTACCCACTCTCTCTCTCTCTCTCTCTCTCTAGAAATACATTAAATCATTTAAGAATCGCGTCCTTAAATGACAGTTGGATGACAAACGACCTCTCATTGAGAACAGTCTTCTCTCTCTCGGTTATAGAATAAAATCAAAATATTCTTGAATATAAAAATTTCAATGCTTAACATTCAGTGCTTAAACTCTTTTGATGGACCGCTTCAATACATTGAAAGACATAAAATATCAAAACACTGTTTCAAATAGTATTGATTATACAATCTATTCATAACTTTAAATGTGTTTTCTTATGAAGAGAGGATGTATTACATCCTAATAGCTATGTTTAGCATTCAAATTCAAATTTAGCGCAAATAACATAAGATCTTATGTTTGATTTCATGATTGTATAAAAATTGGGCACAAAATTGCTTTGTATGTCAATAAGTAAAGTGAAGACAAACCTTCAGAATCGCTGCTCTCGTGGTGTCCGAAGTCTTCTTTGGCGACAAACTGTCTGCCGGAGAGAAGACTGTTCTCAATGAGAGGTCGTTTGTCATCCAACTGTCGCTTTAGGTTTCTATTCTCCTCCTGTTGTCTCAAAATGACGGCCACATCGCCTCCGATGGCCGGCTGTGACATCAATTCTGTCTCCTTTTTTATGATCCATTCCGTGAGTTCGCGAAACGCTAATAACAGTTGATTGCATTCTTCGGCACTAATTTCTGATCGAGAATTCCATCTATTATTCATGTCTTCCACTACTTCTTCGGTTTTTTCGGCCAACACTTCTCGAACTTCTTGTTTTTCTACTAAATCTTCAACGGATTCGTGTTTAGTAACCACTTCGGGCTCTTTAGGTTCGTCTTCGGCTTGTGAGGGAACCTCCGGTTGTGGTGTTTGTTCGGGTTCTTCGGGATTAGTGCCGTCTGTGGGCACCGGCAGTAAATTTTCCTGAGTTTTGAATATTATTAATGAATATATTTGTCACAAACCGTTTATTGAGGCAATTATTAACGTTATAAACAACTAAATCAATGAAATGACCGAAAATCATATTCTCAACACTCGATGAACACACATATAATTAAAGGCAGAATTGAGTTTTACATTGAGTTACTATAACACAGAATCACTCAAATATTGGGATTTAAAAAATACATCAAAATGCTTATTCATATCATTAAAAAACATTAAAAGTGGTAAAATTATTGTAAGAATTGGTAAAAATTGCATTATTTTGTTGGCTTTAAATATAATTGTAATCCGTTTTGATTCACAACAAACTCGAAATGATTTATAGAGCATGCGATCTGAGGCCTACGCTAAGAATTGATCGATCGGTACATTTTCATTGTATATAAGAGTATACTATATATTCTGTGGCACAGAATAGTCACACTAGCGTAGAGTATAGTACTCTCTATCTGCACAGTACTGTACAATAGGTCTTACCATATAATCCAATACAGAATTCCACTATAATATAGCTTATTATGTACTATACATGAGTGAGACTACAGTAGTTTTATTTATAGTGATCTTCGCTTTAACTTAAAGATTAAAAGATTTGGATTTAAAAAATCTGTATATCAGAAAGATTCGCGTACTTTCATTTCAAAGCTTACGTCAACAGTGAAACTGCAATCATATATTAAGTAAACACTAGTTTTTTAATAATTTCTTTATTTTTTGCCGGTTTTGACAAATGATTCGACAAAATGATCAAAAAAATTTCCCTCAAGTTATGATCGGAAAAAAATTTGGGATTCAATCCAAAGGCAATTGAATCGAAAGCAAAAGTTCTCTATCAAAATGTTTTACGATTGAACAACACTTTAGAGACACTTAACAAATGACTATTAATTATATTTTCTGCACTTCTTTTTTGACGATTCGTTAAATGCTCTGCAGATTAAGATAAGTGAAGATAACTGAACACAACTCTCAATACAAAATAAGTTCATTATTTGTTGTTAACCACTGATGGCTAAAAACCACAAATAATTCACTCTTTTTATGGGATACTTTTGTGTCTAAACGAAGCACTCATTGAAATTCAATACATTTTTCATTTTTTGGCCGCAAAAATCAATGGTTTGACTGATAGACCAAGTGTTTTGAATTACACTTTGATTTAAAAAGGAATCTCAAATAGTTGTGGAAAAGTCGTTAGACGACAGTTTCAGTTATTTATTGATAACTAATGTATTGATTTCATGGAGTGATTGCAGCAATTTTTTGTGTTCAACCACTAAAACCCGATACATAATGATATTGAAGAACATTATACACATAAAGCGAACCATAAAATCATTTCAATCGCAAAAATATTGATTTTGAAGTTTTTTAAAGAATTTTTTATAAGAAACTAAAGACGACTTACCGTTACTTTTACTGCTTTCGCTTCAGAACCAGAAGTTTTGTATTGCTTAAAGTTATTGAGAAGTTCGTCATATCTTTGCTGTAAATGAGTGCAAAAATATGATGAATGTGTTTGAAAGACGAGTATTCAAATGATGGTAAAATCAATACAAACCTGAATCAGTTCTGTTTGCTCTTCGAGACGAACGGCCGCTTCGTTTCTATCTTGAAGACGGTATTTATCGGTATAACTCTTGAGTGCAAGCAATGTATTGGCATAAGAATCAAATTCCTTTTGCATTTTGTCCACTTCTTCGGGCAAGTCTTCGGCCAACACTTCGTTATCGAATCTGTTCTTCAGCTCAAATTCAATGCTTTGAATCCAACGCAAAACAGACAGCAATTGGCGTTCGCACTGTTGAGACTCAGTCTGAGTGGTCTCCAACTCCTTCTGTCTTTCTTTCGCCTCTCGACTTAATTTATCCCATTTCTCGATCACTCTCTGGACGTCTTTCTCTAACAGTTCGGACGACATCTGTCTCTCAATCAATATTTTATTTATTTCCAAAATTCTTTCCATTCGATCGTTCGGTTTATTTCTCATATAATTTTCCAAATCCTTAAAACATATAAAATGTGGTCAATATATCGGTTTAGTAATAATTTATAACATTTATCGCTATAATAATGACTTACATCAAGACATTCGGATATCTCCTCGGCGTCTGCGGCCAATTGAGGCGAACGTTTCAACTTCTTGGCCAACTTATCCAACCAATCATTTTCATTCATAATTAAGCGCTTTATCTCTCCGGCCATTGATTGCAATTTCTTAACGTCACTTATGGTTGCATTAATTTCTTTCTCATATTTGTCTAAACTATTATGAATAGCAATATATCGTTGTCTGAGGTCTTCGAGTGAACCGGTGGTCAATTGATTCAAATTAATTTCATCCAATTTCTCTTTAATTATCTTAATTTCGCGCTTCTTATCAGAAATTTCAGTCAAAATATATTTAAGTTTACTTAAAGTCGCGTAAAAGTCATTCCCAGTGACAGCGATAGCGCTTTGAATCTCTTCGTTAGCTTTTATAACATAATCTTCAGATTCTGTTAACATCTCGTGAATAGCGTTACTGTTTTGCAAAACAATTTTCAATTTATTATTCTTATCTGCGGTCGCGTTCTTCAACTTTTCCCACTTATCGTTGATTTCGTTAAATTTGGACACATTTCGCAAATTGAAATTCTTCGTGATTTCGACCGCGTTTTTGTTGATGTTATCAATAGAGGACTGAATTGTCATTTTGATGTCTTTTTGAAGTTTGTTGCACTGTTCCAACTGCTGCTCCAAAGTCTCTAAGTCTCCGATCGCGATGTCCTCATTGAGAAACACGTCCACCTCATCCATCCATTTGTCTAAACTTATTATCTCCTCTTCCATCAGATTAATTGTTTGCAACGATTTGTTAATCAATTCTATTCTACTTTTGATTTTATTGTTAACGGAATCCCATTTAAAATTCAATTCTTCCATAGATTTGGATAAAGATTTCTCCAATTGTGAAGACAGTGTTTTGGAGTCGAGCGCTTCCTTTACACCTTTGTTTATATTCCGGAGATTTGATTCTTCAGAGCAAACAGTTTTGATGAGTTCCTCAAACTTTTTCAATTCTGTTTCCAAAGTTTTTGTGTCGTTAATCGAATCCATAAAATCCGAATCAATTGATGTATTAGTTTTGTTCAAACAGTCCATCAATTGTTTAATTGTTTTAAATAGATGTGCGTATTGTTGAGGCAACTCCTCATTGGGCTCTTCTTTTTGAACACTTTGTGTTTCCTTTTTGACACTTAATATAGACTTTGGTTTGAAATCAGTTTTCGGCAAATCATTCGTTA